CAGAAAACACTCTGCCAGTGGGTGACATGAGGTTTGTCACATTCAGAGCAGCTGCTGTAGCCGCAAAGCTGCCAGTTGGGGCTCTGGGGTACTGCTTGTAGCTGCTCACAGCATGTTCCTCTTCCATGAACATCCTAATGGAGTCTCCTTCTCTGGAGACTTCCAGAACCAGCCTGGATGTGTTCCTGGGCAACCTGCTCTGGGCGAACCTGCTTTGGCAGGGGAGTTGAACTGTATTTCCAGAGGTCCCTTCCAGCCCCCGCTATGCTGGGATCCCATGATTCCCTGATGCTGTTCCCAGCTGCCAGCTGTAGCAGGGGCACTACGCTGTCAACAGCAGCCTGGCTGCTCGGACACCAGCGACTGCAGCGGCGACTGACTGTATGTACGTACGAACGCGCGTCTGCGAGCTTCTTTATTTACAGATCTTTGAAGGAACAAAGCTGGATGTTCCTGGCTTTGTAATGGCTCTGCAGCTCTGGCTTAATTAGTGTCTGGAGTTCATGGAGGCGCTCCCAGGACTGTGAGAAATCGTCTGGTCCTTCCCCACAGCCCCCGACAGGTGGGACGCTCGGGTACCCGGGGTGCACCATCAGCTCGACAGTCACTGTCCCGCGCGGCGGCGAGGGCGCCCTGGCCGTGAACTCCAGGAGGGCGGCGTCCATGGCGCTCCAGATGGTCCCGACGGACATGCTCCTGCCCATGGTGCTCAGGCCTATGTAAATGTCTGGCCACCTGCAGCCAGAGGAGGGAACGCTGCTGTTAATGCTGACGAGGTGGTTAGAAAAGCGTGGTACACCCAGTGGGTTAGGAATCAAATGGTACATCTTGACTTTTCTTACCTTAAGACAGAATAAGGAGGGGATTTTAGAATTTTTAACTATAAACCAGAGTAAAATGAGAACGACGGGAAATAATGCTTTTGTTTGCTTATTGAAACTGGGATACTTTTTAAAACAGCAGTTCTTCAGTCTGACAGAAAGTCCCGGCAAAATCCAGTACTAGCATTGATGTTTTTACTGGGTTTACATGTACTGTATCTCAGCACAGAGGTGGTTTGGCATCTGGGAGCTTACAGGTGTATTTTGTTGGCACAAAAGGGAAGGGC